AATAAAACACTGACTTGTCAGCAGAACATGACAAGACCTCTAGATTGTAAGTGGCTACTAGATCATTCACCAAAAAAAGAATGGATCATATCACTGTGACAAAGGTGGCTAGAGAGTTATCTCTTACTTGCAACAAAAATATGGGAACCTAACATGTGAGTCACAAAGACTCTGGTAGTAAACACAGGAAGGGGACAAGTCAAGGGGGTTAGAGCTTTTGCATAAATATAACCTTTAAAATAATCATGCATGCATGGTCTTTAAAAGACTCATTCATCAACTCTTGAAAGTGAATATAAGTTAAGCCTTTGAATACACACTGAAACCATTTAGATTAAACACTTGATCTTCAATTCATTGAACATAGAGTTAAATTAAACCTTGGGATAATTTCGAATGCATTTGGAGTTATATAAACATTCAGAAACTTGTTTGAGTATAAAACCATTAGGAACACATAAGAAAAGGGTTAACATTCTCATTCTGTTCTTGATGTCTTGATACCTTTAAAGGAGGTATCAAGACTTCTAGGTGAGGTCTTGATACTTCCTCTAAGGGTATCAACAGTTCCTTCACAAAATGCTCTTCCAACATTTTATTTTATAGGTATCAAGATTTCCTATTCAAGTTTTGATACTTCATTCATATAAATCTAGAAATTTGGCTATTTTTAACTCATATCCATCTCATTTGACCTTTCAATCTCAAGATCAGTCTTATGTCTTAACTTGCAAGCATATTTGGCTAAGAAAACTCATTTCTAGGCTATTTTAACATAACATACAACAAAATAATCTAAACAACTCATACATCAATCAATATGCAAACCAGGGCATAGTTAATGATGATAGTATAGTCCTTATTATCCTTAGATGTGCTATTAGTGATGGTTAAGTGTCTATCATGCTTGGGCAACTTTGATGCACCATAGGAGTGGAATCACTACTTCACTTCTAGAATGGAATCACTTCCTCACTCCATTTTACAACTGTTTGTAAAGGTTTAGCCCCTATTATCCTTAGGTCATTCTAGTAATGTTTTCTATGTCTCGCAAACATAGTCATGCTAATATTTCAATTCTTCAATGTCATTCAGCACTATCAAGCATAAATCATCTTAATCATTTACTCATATTTAGCTCATATGGTATGTGGAAACATCATCGCATAAAACTTACAGATTAGCATACATCATGTGCTCAGACTGATCTCGTGTATTATGTGGAATCATCATCGCATACAATTGCAACATAGCATATATCTCATTCTCATCTCATATCGAGTATATCACTATCATCTCATATGTTCATGGGTGGGAATAACATCCTCCACCTTAACATCACATAGCATACATGCATTCCATACATATCTCATTGAATTGGTGGTTTGGTATAAAATAATTGAAAGGACTTGTCCCCCCTTATTGACAACTAATACATAATAGAATATTTACACACACACACATATAAGTTTGAAAAATCTTTCAAAACTTGGGATTAATCATGACTACGTTTTTCATTTATAAAGTAGTACTAAATCATGTCATCCAAGTAACTCAACAAATCATTCTTGCAGCTTTACATACTATTAGCTTTAAAATGATTGCAGTTTTAATTATGCCAAAATGATCAAATTTGCTTGAATATTATGTGAGTGATCTTGACAAGTTCTTCAGTGAATTCTTGATGTTATTGAACTTTCACACACTCACTTCATGGATATCTACAAGCTTGAATGATTAAATTGTATGAGTGTTAAACTAGCTTGAATGAGTTCTTTCTATGCTCTTTCTAACATTCATATTTGCGATGTTAAAATTGCAAGATAGGTTCACAAATAGTGAAGTATATGTTAAGGTATTCAAAATGATTGATCCACAACACCAAGTTTGTTTCAAGTCAAGAAACTCAGTCATCACTTAATATTTGACTACAAAGAAGATATGGCCAACTAAGCGCGTAAAAATGTCAAGAAACTTGACGACTCAAAAGCCCTGATCGACCCCATATCCTTTCTAGTTGACCATCATGTAGAACACATGAAATATCTGATGTTTTAAGAAGCCCTAGTCGACCCTAAAAGCTTTTTTATTGACCCTTCATGGACAAAACTCAAAATGACGACCATTCGGGAAGTGGATGAACTAGAGAACACTTGTATCTGACTATAGAAGCCCTAATTTGAAATTTTGAAGGAACATAGTTGACCATAGATGCTTTATACATGACTATAAGTGAACGTTAGAGATAAAACTTAAAAACAAATGGCTAATTACTTGTCTAATTCATCTCTAATGGCTCTAAGATTTTTGTAACTATAAATGGGACCTTTTGGAAGCATTTCAAGGTGTGGAAGAAGAGAGAAAAAGGAAAACTCTTAAGCATCAAAATCTTGAAAAGAAAATAGAGAAAAACCAAGTAAACTACACCTTCTTGCGCTAAAACTTCATTTGTGCTTTCATTTAAATCTTTTTATCCATTATTTAGGGATTATTCCACCTTTGTACTTAACTAGAAAAATCCACCTTTTAGAGGCACTCTCACTATTCTTTGTCTCCATCTTTTGTTGATCCCAAAGTGTGTGCTAGAGGGGGGTGAATAGCACTTTTCGAATGACACTGAAATTCCTTCCAAGTAAAAAGCTTATTAAAAAATTTTGAAAATGAAAGTTTAAAGCTTGCTGGAGAAATGATTTAAGTGCTAAAAGTAAGAGAAAAAAATAAAAGAAAGTAGACAAAACATAATGATTTATAGTGGTTCGGTCCCCCTGACCTACATCCATCACCTTGATCTCCCAATCAAGGATTTTCAAACCGATTCACCAAAATTAGTGAAATTCCCAAGCATCCACCAAGCTTTTATAATGGCTTTTCACAAGCTCAGCCACAACCTTTAACAATGGGTTTTCTCAAGATCAACCAAAATCCAAATCTAACTTTTCCTAGGCTAAGTTAGAACCTATAACACCAATCAAGCTTACCCAAGCTTGATTAATATGCTTAGAGTGAAGCGCACACTCTAAGTAACCAAGAAGTATAGATATAAAGAAGTACCTATGATTATTAACCTGATCTAAATAGTATAAAATCAAGGGCTAAACTCTATTACAAAGATTGGAGTGAAGTGCAAGAAGGATGAAGAGAGTTTTTGCTATGTTTGAGCTCCTTTTGATCTTGGAAGCATCTAATTTTCTTCTTAGTCGTCAAGGGTGTCTTTTATACTTGAAAAATCAGCTTTGATAGATGTTGATAGCTTCAGACTGCTGGAAACAATTTAGAGTTTATCTTTAGTCATTCAAATTCAAAATTTCAAGCAGAGTGCTCTTAGTTGACTAGCCATACTTCTTAGTTGATTAAGCCTTCTCTGTCTCGTAATTGAATTCATTGGTAGTGAGCTCTTAGTTGACTAACCATGTTTTTTAGTCGATTAAGTTCTCTCTGTCTTATAATTGAAGTCTCTAGCAGTGAACTATGAATTGATTAAGTAAGGCTTTAACCGATTAAAAGCTTACTATCTTTGAACTGGCCAACTTCACTTTTGAATTTTAGCTGACTAACTCCTTTAATTAACTGACTAAGAGGTTTTTATTTTGTGGCTCATTTGTAAGTCCTTATTCTAATGAGTTTTGATATTTACTTTCCAGTAATTAATTTGTTATTGACATACATTTTCATCCTACACACTCAAGTAGTAAAGTTAGACATTAATGAGTGGAAATGTTTTATTATTATCAAAGACTTATAGAGCCCACAATCTCCCCCTTTTTAATGATGCTTGATTAATAGCACAGTGTCTATTAGTTCTTTTTGTATTACACAAGGTGAGGAATTTCTCTTCTGAGTGTGTGCTCCCCCTTAATTTATGCATGATCTTTTCAAGTTACTTTGTTATCCATCTTAGCAGGCCAGCTAATTTTTATCGATTTCTTAATGAAAATAGAAGACATTGATTCAGACATTTAATAGAATATATTCACACAAGCTTGCAGAACAATTAGTAATGAGTGACAAGATATTGTCAATATTGTAACCAACTATCATTAGCATATCACCATTAATAGTACATATCCATTATAAACCCAAATGTCATTATCATGCTAACACATATAACAAAACAGCATAACAAAAATAAGTTATCAGTAACCAAATCCTAACCATCAGCAGTCAAATAATAGAATGTCAGAAACAACTGAACATCATTAGAATTAGATTCTTAAGTTACTATATTGTTACTTCAACTTTCTCCCCCATTTTGTCATCCGCAAAATAGGGATTGACTATAGGTTCAAGAGGAGTTAGAGGGGTACATAAGAGCCACTATGTCTTGAACAACCACTATTTTGTTACTTCAATTTTTCCCATTTTCTTATCCAATTAAGCAAGCAGCATTTCATTGGTTATCATATGTCTTGAGCAACCGCTACTCATGTACCATGGTTTTTTATGCTTCAGTTGAGCTTTTGAGCATATGTCTTCTCGGTTTGGCTCAAATTGCAAGACAAATTTGTAGTTTTTCTTAACAGGTACCCATACCTTAATGGGTCCTTAAAGGTTAGTTGCTACATAAAAGCCTTTTGGTACCTAAATAATTTTTGTTCTTTGAGTGCTTCTTCTTTTGTGACAATCATAAGAAAGATGACCTATTTTGCCACAAACATAACATCTACGTTAGAAATTATCAAAATTTCTCTTAAAGTTTGCATTTCTTCTTGATGTGTTTTTTTTTTAAACTCTTAAGAGCAATATTTTCATCAATAGAACTCTGCAATGCTTCAGTTTTGTTTTCAAGTTCCAGTTTTAGAGCTTTAAAATCTGTTCTAGAGTGTTCTAGTTCAGTTTTGTAATAATCGTTCCTCGATCGCTACCGGCATTTGAGTCTCATGGCTGAACCCGCCAAGTCCAGAACAAGTCTTACTTAAATCATTAGATTATTACTTCATATTCTCGCCATCCATCTATAAAATTACTTTGATCCATAAAACATTTTGTAATAAAAATTGAACAATGATCTTTATAAATTGAATAAACCTTTATCCCACATAATTGTAAAAATAATACATCAAGACTTATAATCTCTAAATGTACATTTGTATTCACACAATTGCCTAATTTTATAACAATTTACACTATGACAACTTGACCTCTAACAGCGGAGTGACTCAGAATAAAGTGCTATGAGATGCCTTTACCTATCCGCGATGGACTGCAAATGCAGATGAATGCACGCTAGGTTGATCACTATCTGCAAAAGAGAAATAAAGAGAGTAAGTCTCACAAACTCAATGATCATAGGTTTCGTGAGCAAGGCGTGGATGGGAAACAAGCATAAGGCAGATAAGTTGAATAATAAAATCAAAATATCAACTCATAATTTTAAGAAACCAAATCATAAGTATGATATTTGTGCCTTGCAAAAGTAATGACATAAATCATAATGCAACATTTCACTTGGAAAATCGATGCCAAAAACAAGTGTAGCAAACAGAGTTCAATCATTGAAAACATCACTTGCCATCAAGCTATGAACAACAATATAAAAGTATGCACGTTCCCGAAATGTGTGGCATGTAAAGAAATCAAAGTATATGACCACATAAAACATTTCACGATCATCAAGTAAGCACTGAAAACTTTTATTCTAACAAAGAAAGCTGCAAAAAAATCTTAACTCTCCACCATACAAAAGATTATCTGTCGAAAACTCACAAGGCACTCGAGTAGGTAAGTAACATAATCACCCATGGACCCACTTCCATGTAATATCATTTGAGAGCTCTACTCCACTAAATCACCATAGCCATGGTAGTCTCAACGATTTTGGCCAACATTGGAGAATCAAGCGTTCGTAATCGCCAATATCACTTGTGGTTAAGCCACAAATAACAACCCGTGGCCTTGCCACGTATATCACAGACTATGGCCCCAACAATGTCTAATAGCCAGTTGGCAACCCAAAGGTTCCCTAGCTAGAGCTGACTTATGCACAAGGGTCACACTTAACCAAAGTGACAATCGACCTACTCTCGACACTCTTAGTTTATCAAAACCATTTTTAAAACCATACCGGGTTTTACAAGGCTTTTCCTTTTAATCATTTGAAATCAAGGTTTGATAAC